GTGTGTGTGTGTGAGAGAGAGAGAGAGAGAGAGAGGGAGATAGTTTGTGTGTGCGCGCGTGTGTGCGTGTGTGTGTGTGAGAGAGAGAGAGAGAGAGAGAGGGAGATAGTTTGTGTGTGCGCGCGTGTGTGCGTGTGTGTGTGTGAGAGAGAGAGAGAGAGTTTGTGTGTGCGTATGCGCGCACGCGTGTGTGTGTATGTAGGTGTGTGTAGTGTGAGTGTGTGTGTGTGTGTGTGTGTGTGTGTGTGTGTGTGTGTGCGCGCGTGCGTGTGTGTGTGTGTGATAGAGAGAGAGAGTTTGTGTGTGCGCGCGCGTGTGTGTACCTGCAGGCGTTCACGCCACGTACATGACTGCACCGCCGTGTATTATTTTGTCAGTTATTGCATTAGCCACGCCGCTGCGCTCGCGAACAATGGACGGCTTGCTGCGGACATGTCGCGCCATCTGGAGGCGCAGCCACCACGCACAATGCCGGAATGCGCACCGTGCGTGGGAATGCGTGCCCCTGAGCTGGCACGCACGCGAGTCGACGCTATTTTTACCCGGACGATCGCGTGGCTCTCACGTCGGCCCGATGCGCGGCTAACTATTCATTGAACTGCGGGCTATGGGCGGCGGTGGTGTCAGGGGTGGAGGCAAGCGCACCGGCGGTGAAACGGGGCAAATTTACGGCACGGTTCAAACTCGATCGCATACAGGGATGGTATAGACAGGCTTCGTAACACGCAGAACAACACTCCGAATGAATATCGCTAGCGCTGTTTACTGAACAGTAGTCACGGCGAAGAGTGAGCGTCACACCACCACAGATGTAAACATCAGTCACCCCCTACGGACGCAATTATTAGGTCCGTTTCGTCGCGAGGCGGCAGTGGCTGGGGGAGGAGGGGGAGGAACGCGGGGTGCGACCACGTCCGTGGGAATCGTGGTCGGAAGTCCTTCACATGTCAAACACGAGCACCTGGGATGCGGCAGCCGCGGCCTCGCGCGCGCAGGAAGAAATATACGGGCGCGCGCACGTAAGAGCAATACCGCGCGTGAAATTCCGCCAGTCGCAGCCTGACTGTCGTCTGCGAACCACGCAGCAGAACATTGTCCACGCGCGACAGCAACGACAGCGACAACTACAAAATAAAATCTATACTCGTGTGTAGGGTATATACGTTGTAAAGACAGCTACGAGATAAAACTCTATCTATACTCGTGTGTAGGGTATATACGTTGTAAAGACAGCTACGAGATAAAACTCTATCTATACTCGTGTGTAGGGTATATACGTTGTAAAGACAGCTACGAGATAAAACTCTATCTATACTCGTGTGTAGGATATACCTTGTACTGACAGCCACGCACTT